AAGCTGTAAGTAAAAAATTAATTGAAATTTAGAAATAAATTCACACTCCAATTATTCCATTCAATCGATTAGAAAAACATATGATTCTAATCAAATGTTATTTCTTTATATTTTCTATGATGATTATTCTTCAAGAATAAATGTTTATTTTACTTGAGTTTTTCGAACTAATCAATATCTACTTAAAGATAAATTAAAACGATCTGAAACTTTTCTAGATTCAAATATTGATTAAATAAGCATATCTTTGAGCTTAAGCATCTCTTTTTTTTTTGTACTATTGACAAGAGTAAAACATGAGATATCAATTTATATTCAATCTTCAGGAAGGTTTTTTTAATGAATTATAGACTATTAAAACTGACTTTAATCGATTCTTAAAATATTTAAACTAAACTTGGAGGAACGATACGCCGGACATGATAGAAGATCCATAGTCTTTTATTACGACAAAGAGTTTACTACGTTTATTTATATTTTAAAGTCATATCAATGTTGAAATTTATAAAAAAAAAAAATCTGCAAACAAGGCGTCTATAAACTTAGTTTTAACTTCGAAAAAACTATTAACTTTCTTTTTAGGTTCAAGATCAACTTGAACGTGTTTGTAAATTCAATTGTACATTACGTCAAAAGAATACATTTTCTACTAATCAAACTCAACGATTAATGGTCGAAAAATTGGATTTAGAAGTTCAACTTAAAGAAAAAGAAAATTTTATAAATCATATGAAAGATCGTGTTACTGATGAACTTACTAGTCCAACATCACCTATAGTGAGTTTTGGAGGAGAAAAAAAATGAGAAGATAAAAATTTTTTTTTTCTTTTGTTAGAATCCAATAAATGATTTTACAACACTTGAAGCTAATCAACCACGATTTTCATTTGAAGAATTACGACAATTATTATGGGAACGAAATGATTTAAAAACAAAATTAATGGAAGTTGAAGAAGAATTACGATTATTTAAAGAACAGTAATGATCATGAATATATCTGTTTTTATAAGATTAACTCTTGCTTTCCTTTTTTTGTTTTTATAGAGAAGATGATAATAATGGCGCTGTCGAGGGTCCAATTCCATTAGAACCTGATGAAAAATTATATGGTCATAAACGTGATGTATCAAAAATTCGTCAATTGTAAGTTAATTATTTAATGTTGTATTTTATTTTCATATATTATTCGTAGCATGTCTCTATTTGTATATATGTTCCATTTATTTTCAGTATAAAATTTTTTTTATTCTCTCCTATTATTGTTTGCTTTGCATTTGTCTCACTGTGGTAAGCTTTTGACATAAGTGAATTAAATGCCATGCTTGTATACATGTACTGATTTATTTGCTTTCTTTTTATTTTTCGCCTTCGTTCTGCATGAAATTTTTGCATTATCATGAATTGAGGAAATTTTCATGTTTTATTTTTGCATACTATCGTCTATTCGCCTGAAGCTAGTAGTCGAATGTCTAACACCTATTTCATTACTAACAACTTGAGTTTTGCTTGAAGTGCTTTTGTTGCATTGTTTTGTTTATTTGTTTTCAGCTTAAATTCATTGTTTCCATCAACTCAACCATCATCATCATCATTTAAAAAAAAGACTCCAGTTAACTTATTAGCAACTCCATCGACACCGATAAGATCAAATGTAACTTCTGGTCGATCTTATTCAACATTTTCTTTACCATCTGTCGAACCGAAACCTCCATGATTATAACGAATTTCGATTGAAAGTTTTTTTGTAAATACTAATCAAAAAACAAAGATTCCATTGCTTTTATCACTATCATCACAATGCAAAAACAAAACAAAATCAGATCATTCATGCTTATTCTTTCCATATTTTGTTTGTTATTTTTCTATGATTTATTTATTATTTTGATGTTGTTGTTTTTTTTGTTATATTTGCAATACGTCCAATATTAATATTGTATCTTTGTTAAAATGTCTTATGAAAATTTTTCTTTTTCTTTTATGTATTTAGTTTTCGATTTGTCTTTGGTGATTATCCAACAACGGCAACTGGAGTCGATATACCTAGCAATGCAAAAAAATTTCCATTTATTACCGATGTTCTCAGATAAAATTATACAAAATCAAATGCTTTCTTAATACTATTTTTTTTTTGTTTGTATTTCTGTCGAACAGTGTATAGAAAAAAAAGAATCATTAATAATCACTTATGTATCCGACAAAATAATTTTAAAAAAAAACAATTACAATATCAAAAAAAAAAAAAATGAATATTTAAAAAAAAAGAATAATAAATTATATTAATATATGTTTTTTTTTCGCTAGTCATATATTTTTATTCCTAGCTTTTTGCATTGTTGTTGTTATTATTCCCGTTCACAAATAAATTTATGCAATATATTTTAATTAAATATGATTATTTACTATTCTGTAATGAAATGGTTTGTTATTTATCTCATCTCGATACTTAAGATAGATATGTAGAGGCAATGACGGCTACTGGAATTTATCTTTTGAAAATTTATTCACTGATAGTATATAATATACTTTACCTGTACTAGAAAAGATCGCGTAGTTCGCAATAGTCAAATAGTTCTTCATCCTAGGTTTTTTTTCTCGTAGTTTCCTGAATTCCTTCCTTACACAATTAAAATCAATATCAAGATTTATAGGAAAAAACACACGAAACTTCTGAAGAAAAAAAATTTCAGATGCTATTGAATTTCTGAGGTTCAAATAAAGCCTTTGGTTAATAAAAGAAAAGTATCATAATATCTATAACTCAGATATCAAGATTCGAAACATATGTATTGTGATATTCATCAAATGCATTCCTGCTCAGATCAAATCCATCCTGTTGGATCTGACGAAATCCGATGGTATCAAAGTGTTTATTCTTTTTGCTTTTTGTGATTATTAGACAACATGTGAAATATATTTGTTATACTTTTTATGACGACACGACGTCGTTGTTCTCTAACTCCTACGTCAATCAGCCACGTTTCGAAACGAGTGTTTACGATGAGAAAAGAGAGCTATACAAGTCAATGAACAGTAAGTAGTAATTATTTATTTGATTTTATTTTAAATTTATTATTCAATAATTGAATGTACTAATAAATTAAAATAAACTAGATTTAATCTGTTAATTTGTAGTTAATTGTACGAGAGGAAAGAAGTAGGAGGGGAAGTCAAACAATCTTTAATGTTCAGATAAAAAATCAAGAGAATTTCATCGGATTTTGAATGTTTCCGACATTTTCTAACCATCGGATTCGACATCTTCCGATAGGATTCTTTGGGGAATAGATGAAATTTTCTTCATTAAGATGTTTGAATGCCTGTACAATCCGTGAAATAGTATTGCTTATTTCAAATGAATAAGTAGTTTTCTATATTTCTCACAACTATTAGAAATGATGACACAAGCTTAATATACTCTTAGAATTATAAATAAGACTTTATATCTTATGATCCAATATTACGACGTTTTGTTCTATAAAGCAAAGCGATGATGTAGATAATCTAATAAAGTATTAGAGGTCGTGTGACAACATCTTCGTCGATGACAAATATTATACAATTAATGAGGGATAGTTATATTCTAATTAGGCATGCACAGAATCGGAACATTTGGGTTTGTTTTTAACTGCGTTCATTTTCAATCAATTAATAAAAAACAAGTAGAAGTAAGTCACAAGAGACGATTCAAGACTTGACTATGGTAGATCTATACACAACGGAATAATTTATTCAAAAACCGAAGGGTCTACAGACATACTAAAAAAAGTCAACAATGTTTAGAAATATTCGAGTCCGAACTCAATCAAATCTTAGAGTGCTTTCGTGATTGTCTATATACTCCAAGAAATGCTTGAGCAAGCATCCAAATATTCAACACTGGCTGAACTGATTGAATAGTTTCCGAACTCGAACGTCGAGCCAGAGTTTAGGTTTCGTGCATGTCTAATTCTGATCAAATTAATCTCTTTTTTCGAAATTACATCAGAACTATTTGTTTTTTCTCATATAACTCGTAAATTATTTTAAATCTTATAAAAAATATTTCGTTTTCATTAGAAGAAGTTCTTTCATAGGAATTTCATTGAAATCTTATTATCTAATGTTGACCGAGTACAATGTAATCTAATGTTATTTATACTAATAGGCATCAAATTTTGCGGTTAAAGAAAGTTAATAAATAAGATTATTTTTCTATCATCAAATACTTTTTTAATATCTTATAGATTTCTATGATTATCGAAATCCTATTCATAAATATAATCCATTGAAATTAATCTTTCTATTTTATTTATAAAAAAAGAAGCCAAGAAGACCAAAAAAAAAATACGAATATATAAGATAACTCGATAAATAAAGAAAAAAAAATCCTCCATTGTTAAAAAATTTTTTTTTTCTTATTTTTCTATCATCTTTAAAATCATCACTGAATGGTAATGTTTCTCGCACAAATAATCACTCGGGATGATAAAGTATGAAGAAAAAAAAAAAGAACAAGCGATAGAAAAACGAATAAAGAAAAACAAAAGAACTCTAAAGAAGATGTCATGAAAAGCAATTTATGAATACAAGCATGAATAAAATAATATATAAATTACACTGAACCAGCAGTAAAATGAATAACAAGACGTATTCCAAAAGAAAAAAAAAATCACACATATTTGGAATGTTTTTAATTACGAATGTCGAAAGAACTAAAAAAATAAATAAATTTAAAAATAAATTTTTTTATTTTTGTTTATTTTAACATACTGAAAACCATCCAGATGATTTCATTTCTGGTTGTAGAGCTAATCTTGGCATTACTAAATTTGGATTTAATGCTTCAACAAATTCATCTTCCATATCATCATCTTTAGTCATATCATCAACCATATCAGTAACTAATTCAATATCATCAAGTTCTCGACTATCCGAAAATGTACTAGCTTCACCTAATGGTCCATCAAATCGTTCATGAGCTGGTAAACTATTTAATGTACCCATCATATTAGCCATTTGTGGTCGTGGTATTTGACCTTTTGATAAAGGTATACGATTTTCTAATTCATCAAATATACCAAAATCTGCTTCTGGACGATTTCCAGTTGCACGATATGTTGTATTATATGTTGTATTTGTACTTGATGGTAATGAATCTGATGCATCAACATATGGTTCATCATGTGTATTATCAAGACTAAAATCATCTAAACGATTTAAATCTCGGTTACCAGTACCCATTGTTGGAATATGTGCACGAGGTATTGTAAATTGTTGACGAGTCGATGGTAATTCTGGCTTTGTAGATGGTATATTTCTTTGTTTTATGATAAAAAATATACACATAGCAATAGAAATTATTAATAGAAGACCAGCTACAGCACTGATAACGGCAATAATAATTGTCCAATTTCTATCTGATAATACTGGTGTTGGAGCAACAGTTGTTGCAGAAACAATTCGGCAAAAATCTCCTTCAAAACCAGTATAACATTGACAACCGCTGTTATTTGAATAACAACGACCTCTATCCGAAAATTCACATTCATCACAAGGTACTAGACGCCTTGTGATATTAACTAAAAATAACGAAAACTAAAAAAGTGATGTTTCTTTTGTTGTTTCTTACACAGTCTATTTGATGATGGATCCATAATCATTTGTATCAAACGTGTTGTGTGATCATCATCATAGATACGTTCTTCATCGAATACTTTATTTGCAAACTCTATTCGTTGTGAAATACTCATTGGAGCGTCTATCGTAACCATAATTTGAAGTTCTGGCGGTACAAGACTCCTATTTATTAATATTAATTTTCTTTTTGAATCAATCAATCAATCAAACTTACTGTGTATCATATATAGTTATACATGATCCATTACATGTTATATTCATATTAAATAAAAAGTCGGCTATCTATAATCAAATGATATATTACAATGAAACAAAAAATAAAATCAGTTAAATATTACTCTATTTGTTATCCTAGTTGAATTTGGTGCTCTGATAATTACGGTACGACTTCTTGGATTATAGATTAAATTTATTATTAACCAAGTTTGACCTATAATTAATGAATTTTATTTAATCAATAAATCATTATCAAAAAAAAAAGAAAACATTTCTTTTTTACCAGTTGCATTAATACATGTAGTTCCATTATAATAAGCAAATGGATGACCTGGACATTGACATGTTTGTTGAGTATTATCCAAAGCATAAACAACAAGATTATAGTTCGATGATGGACATTCACATTGACCTGTTCTTGAACTACAACTAGCAGGTTCCATACATTGATTTGCACAAAGTGCTGAATAATTTGTTAATAAACATGAACTGTTTGAATTTCGAGCATTTCCATATTGTTGAGTATAATCACCTTAAGAAATTATTTTATTTATTTGTATTAAAATTTCTATATAAACATACCTCCTAACGAATAATTAAAACTACATCGACATTCATATGAACCTGGAGTATTAGCACAATATGTATTACTATAGTTTGAACAGATTGTCTGAGTCATATTACATTCATTTATATCGAAACATGAACCATCAATAGACTAAAGAATAAATCTTTTTGAAAAGAAAAACAAAAAAAAATCAATATTCATCAAACCTGATAACCATCTAAACAATCACATGTATAATTTCCAATAATATTATTACAACGTGAAATATCGTCAACACAAAAATCTAGTTGGTCAATACATTCATTGACATCTATGTATAAAAATAAATTCAAAAAATAAAAAATAAAAAATTCTAATTATTATTTATACATACCTGTACAATTACTCATTGGCGTAATTCTCTGATAACCATTCTTACAACTACACGTAGCATTTCCACTTGAAGGATCTGTTACACAGTCTTCTGTAGCATTATTACATATATTGTTACGTGCTAAAAAAAAACAAAAGATTTATTTTGAAATTTAATAAGTAAAACATATCATAGACAAAACATAAATATTAGTCATTTATCTTAATTTATTATTAAGATTTTTATTTCGAGTGAAGATAAGAAAATTTGTAAGAAGTTCTTGACATAATACAGAGTGACATAGTTGAAGATTGGATCAATATGTCAAATAGGATTTGTTTATTAACTATCAGATAAGAAGATTAGAGATGCGAGACGTACGGTCGGTACTAAGTTTCTTTTTTTGGGGCCTGGTTCCGATCTAGAGAAAACTATTTCAGAATTTATTTGTATCACTATTCAATACTCATATTTATTTGGGGTCATTTCTCTTGAATTATAAGATAATTTGCTTAAAACTATAGAATATTTTATAAACTTAGTTTTCAGTTCCCACAAATCTTTTTTTTCTCTTAATCCTGAACCCACACATTTCTAATCCATACTGTATATATATATATAAGAAAATTCATTGATGTTTCAGATTTCTCACATTAGACTCAATCATATATTTTATATTGTTCAAAAACTTTTACAATAAACTATTCTAGTTAAGATCAATCTCTATGCAAAATTTCCAATTGATCATATTTATTCGCACACGTTATTTTTCTTTTTGTTTTATTAAGAAAAAAAAAATTTAAATATGATGAATTATGTTGGTCGTAACAAATTTCTATTGTATTAAAAATGAAAGTAAACTCAAAAGAAAACTATATTTAATCTTTTCATTGAAGATTGAGATTTTCGATTAATTATTTTTCTTATTTCTATTGAATGATAATGATCATTAAAAGTATAATTTATACTTACCACACATGTCTATACTTCTATCACAAAATATTCCTTCATGTGTTCCATCACAGATACAACTTCCAGCTGGACTTGTTGCATTTGGATAGCAATCACCATATGTACAATTACATATTTGATTACAACCATAACCATAATTTAACTCATAACATGCTTTAAAAAAAAATTAAATATTTGAAATAAGAATAATAAAAAAAATACGAATTTTTATTCATACGTAAACATTGTTTTCCATCATCAGAATGTCGATAACCAGGAAATTTCGAACAATTACATTGATAACTAATATTATTCACCATTTCACAAAAACCAGGACATGTTGAATTACACCAAGCTAAAATAATTATCAATTATTATTCATTTTCATCTATTCAGTTCTTTTTTTCTTTGTTTTTTATTCGATTTAAAAATCTACTTACGAACACAAGTATTATTTTCTTCGATCGTACCACGTAGACATAATATCATACCATTCAAACGGCAAGTATCACCATTACAAAGAGTTTCATTAACTAATAAAATAAATATTTATCAATTCAGATTTAAACAAAAAAAAATCAATTTTACATACAAAGACAAGTTCCAGTTGTATTAAAAATAGGACTACATTGACATGTATAATTACCGTTTGTATTTATACAAGCATCAGTGACATTACAACGAACACCAAAAGTACCATCTACATTCGGTTCTCTGCATTCATTGATATCTTTAAAAAAAAGAAAGAAAATATATTGCTTATTATAATATTTATACAAAGAACTTACCAATACATGTTTGATTTTCAAATCGATAACCATTCGAACAATTACATGTAAATGTTCCAATAAGATTAATACATACACCATTTCCACATCGAGATGAATTCCGTTGGCATTCATCAATATCTAAAAATAAAATAATTATTATTTAAATTTTCTTCGAATATTAGAATCTGTTTTTCCTTGTTACCATCACATGTGTAATTATTAGTTGAGCTATATCCATTTTGACATGTACCATTGCAAGTATACGAACGATTTTGTGCTACTTGATCAGTAGCATTTAATGGATTACATATTGTTCCATTATTCCAATTAATTCTACATGCACTACCCGAATTGCAACCATTATATGGATTTTCACAAAAATCTCCTAAAAAAATGAAAACAATAATCTATAGAATTTATATTTAATTGCTGTACCCTCATATTGATCGGGACAACGACATGCAGCAAGTTCATAATTATCATTTATTCTCCTTGTCTCGCCATAATTACAATAACTAGTATTCGCACATAAACAAGCGATGATATTCAAATACTGTATCAATGTGGAATTTGTGCCATAACTAATAGTCAAACTATAAAAAAAAAACAAAAGAAGAAACTTAGATTTTATGCTATTCTTCAAACGTTAATTTATATAAGAATCATTTATTAATTAAGACTTGTTAGATGTGTCGGAAATTATAAGATAGATATTATTTATTTTAAGAGTCACAATAGTTTTTTCTTTTTCTAGAAAACGAATCAGCCAAAGAAATTAATGGTAGGACAAAAGAGTTATCAATGAATTTAGAAAACGCCATTCTACTGTTTTACTGTGAAATAGAAATGTCCATCGTGGCTGGAAATCTGCTGCGGTCATAGAAGAGACAAGGCTCAGTGCCACTGTCGTCACGCGATCCTAGAAGGGACAAGGCTGCCGCGACGCGGTGAGCTATATAAAAAGTGGTCACTATCGCGATGGTTTTCAAGAAATTCTACGAAAATCTTTTCCGTCACTGTGCTAAATTAGTACAGTCGCATTGAATCCGTCAGACTCAATCTCGATTTTGACTGTTAAACTTGTAGACACTCAAATTGGGTGGAAATTCATCCAGGTTCACAATCTTAATAAAAAAAGAAACTGCCACTGCCACAGTAGTATGCTTGAAATATCTCTCGCGCCATCGCGGCAGCGCCACCATGGGCATCTCTAGTGTCTAAAAAAATCGTATATCGCCTCGAAACATAGTCAAACGCATGTGATACAGTTAAAGCGACATAATGCCATTTCGTAAATTCACTCACAGAAGATGTTGTGCCTTCCTGAACGCTCTCAAACTAACATTAATGTTTTGAGCTTGGAACCATTCATTATCATTTGTTTGAGAGGTGCAAGTTTTTTTTTTCTTTAATTACTTCTTCTCTTCTCACGTTTTGTCCTCTACCGCTGACTGGTCTGTATCTCTCGATTTTAAAAATAACAAAATTTTACTGAATTGAACTTCAAGTACATCATTGATTTTTTTCTGATACTGTGTGTCCAACAGACACCGAATTGCAACGAGTTTTACTAGCTCCAGTTTGGTCCGTTTTCAGTATCTGATATTCAATAATAACTAATGAGGAACTTGATTTGAAATCGAACATTATTATGTACCATTAGGTTTTTTCTTTTTGTTTAATTTCAGTTAGAAATCTGTCATCTATCAAAATATAGAACTGCTACTTTTAATTTAACTATTCTTGAATATGCAAATGAAAAAGAAAAACTAATGTATTTATTAGACTTTGTAGAGTAATCTCATAGAAATATATTGAACATTCAAAATTACTTACAAAACTTGAACAAAACTAGTCGAATTATTCGGAATTGGAATCATAATAGATGCACCATTAAAACTACTATTGGTCATGGAACCATTTTGAGAAATAGTTACAAGTGTACTTTTTGCATCAGCAACAGTAATTGGTAATGTATACATACGATTTAAATCATTATATGGTATTCCTATTTGAATAGTTGGAGATATACTGATAGTCGGCACTATTTCAGCTATATGAATTAAACAAAAAAAAAAAAGAAATCTTTTTCAAACTCATATTGTTAATTACCTAATATAATTCCTATTTGTTGAAATGAATTTAATGATGAAGCTGTTATACCACTACTTATTGGATTAATTCGAATTATATAATCATGACGACATTCAAAATTTGTTGAACATGTTCGATCAATTTCAGATTGATTAAGAAGTGAATTTAAACTTGCAAGTGTATTTGCATATTGATTATAATATGTATAAACTAAATACGAAGGCATAATTGGATTTGCCATATTCGGCGTTGTATCAGTAGATAATTTCCCTGAAAGAAAAAAACCAAAAAAATAGTCTAATATAAAACATTTTTATTTCTCATATATATAAATATTACATGAAAGACAAGCTCGAAGAACTGATGTATCATTACTAATTGCTGTTCTATTAGTCGCAGATGATATAATAACTGTTTGATTTGTTTGTCGATTAACTAAATCATCACTATAATTTCCATTAAAATTACCAACTAAACCTTCAATATATGTTCGATATTTTCTTGGTAATGATAAAATACAATCAAGATTTTCACTAACAATTTGACATTGCATTGTAACACCTAAATTATATATATACATATTAGTATCATTTTTTTTTCGAAAAAATAAATTACATACCAGACCAAAGAGCAAATGTTAATTGAGCTACGGTTATACTTCCTAGAGATACAACTGTTTGTTGTACTCGATAAAAATATCGATCATTATAATTCATCGTATTTGCATTATCATAATTTAAATTATCTGCTAAACTTTCTGTAAGTGATAAACTAGATGAACCATTATTTGCAACAAAACCTAAGAAGAAAAAAAAACGACAACATTGATGTGTGTGTGTGTGTGTTTTCTTTTTAATATATTTATTAGATAATTATCCTACCAAATTTTCCATTATTATTACTAATATTAAAAGTATAATTTCCAGCAACAACTGAATAACTAGAAAATAGCGAAGCAGAACCTTGTATTTGTATATAAGGTAAAGCTGCTGGTATAGATATAGAACGAACAGATATTTGAAATAAATCATCAGGATAGATAAGATTTTCATCGAATACACCACTGTTATTAAGATTAAATTGAGCTGTTGCATTAGCATTATTACTTGTTCGAGCAAATACATAAATACCTTGAATATGACATGTATATCGTCCATTATCAATTGTATTGATATGCGGGTCGCCATTACCAGAGACTAGAAGATTTTAACAATTTAAAGTAAAAAATGAATAGAATCACTTTTTATCTTTTTTACTCCTAGCAGGTGTTTGATATCCTGTACAAGTACTTGCTGGATGAAGTTGATAATAAAAATGACAGTTATTCTCATTTTCAGTTGCTCGAATGTTCCTTGATAAACAACATTGATCGCTAAGAAAAAAACAAGATAAATAATGAAAATTATTCGAATTAACAATGAAAGTTCTCGAAATGATAAATTATTTTTGATTCGAGCGTATATGTATTATGTAGATCCCAAGGAGTTATGAATACTCTGAAAGAAGTTCGTAGCCACGGAGACTTTATACACATTTACGGTATCTTTAAAAAAAATATCGTAGTAACAGCAAACTGGTTTTCGAATTTCAACTTGAATCTTCACATAGAGATAGGTCTTAATAAGAATAATTTTCTATGAATGTTTCAAGTCTTTTGATTTATTCCTATCCTGAACTACGAGACAAGATCTAAAATATTCATGTTAAGGTCTGTCGTTATGCAAAGTTTCAAGTCAAAATTCGAAAACCAGTTTTTTTTGTCTTCTTGAGCGAGAACTATGGCATTTATTCAAAACAAAACCTATTAGCGTAATCTCTGTGGAATTAAAAAAATGTGAAACATAATGTAACTGTCATTAATTACAAAAAGATTGCTTCGTTCTATTTATTTTGAGATATATTTCTTCATTATTCTTTTACTGAATCGTCCAGAAATACAATAAGGAAGTAGTTTATATATTATAATGAAACGTTATTGATATATGGTCTGTGATGTGCGGAGTGATGAGCATTATTAAAAGATATGTGTTACAGTCTATGACGTTTCTATGTGGGTAGCGGAAACTTCGTCTATATGACTTTCGCTAATGACGAGAGTCATGTGGACGTTGGCCAACACATCCTCAAGAATTTTATCAATAAGACTTTCGTCTATTGGCAAAATTTCGGAATCCCTTCTATGGTTGTGTCTATCACAATCTACAACAAAGGAGAGATCTTGCTAAGAGTTTCTGTCACATCTATGAAGGAAGGAGGTATCCAAAGTTCAACCTCTATACTTCAACACTCCGTTTAGATTATGTTTCACAAAATACCGTAAAAGTACAAAATCTTCGCAGTAATAAGCTAATGACACAACCTTTTTTTCATGATATTTATAGCTCATTTTGGATCTATCTAATGCACATAGTGTTAACTTAAAAGCAATTTATTAGTTGGATGGTTTCCTTCGTAAGATAAATTGAGCTTACTGGAAGGCAATTCGTTTTAGCCAAGGATATGGTTGAAAAAGTATATTTGGATCGGAGAGTACTGAACCAGCAAGATCACCATACGTAATTAAACCTCCATTAAATTGATTATAACAACATGTCTAAAAATAAATATATATTCTCATCATTTACTCAGTTGAGAGAGAGAAAAACAATAAGTCTGATGTTTCTTTTTGAAAATATTATTTTAATTTTTTATTTACTTGTGATCTAAGTTGTTTCCAATAAAATGTAGTAGAAGTCCAAAAAGGAACCCAAATAGTCATTCGTGGTCCAAAACAAATAAGACCTTGTGATCTTTCGTAAGGAGTTTCACTAAATAATTGAGCAAAACGATTATCGCCGAATGCTTGACCAATTGAACATGGACATGGAAATCGTGGATTATTTCTAGATGAAAAAATGAAATTGATTTCAATAAAAAAAAAAGAGAATCTAATAAAATACATACACAACATCATTTAAATTGTTCGAAGGATCTAAGTTGTTGGAATTTGTTTCTTGTAAATAATATATTTCACATACACTTAACGAACGTCCTCCAACATAAAAAGTTTTTCGTGAAGATTGTGCTAAACAAAAAAAGTATTTATCTGTTTTTTGAAAATGTATATTTGATTTAATTCGAATAAATACTTAGAAATAACGCATTTTGATAAAAATATGGATCGTTAAAAATTTTAATCAAAGAACTTTTTCCACGATAACCTATATCATATTTTTTTAATTTAAATTAATCTATAAAATAGAATAGTTTACATACCAACAAAAGGTTTAAGATAACCTAGATTTCTTGATAGATTAGTATAATCAAATGCAAGATATGATCGAAGATTTGGATAACTATAAAAACCTACTTCATAAGTGTTTATCAGATATGCGGAAAATGACAAGCTCTGAAAAAAAAGTCAATCAGAAAGACACAGATAAAAACAAATATTCAACAATTGAATTTACTATAGGACTGCTAATGGCAGATGGACTGGAATAAAGATTTTTCCAACTGATTCGAACAACTCGAACTGCTGCAAAATTTGTCGGACAAATTTGTACTGGACATGATTCAGATACTGCCTGTTGAATAACAGCATTATAAACATTTGCATTTGTTTGATTAGCACTCAATGAATTATACCAGTCAATTGTGATGCTAGAATTGTTCTAAAAAAAAGAAAAATATATTTCCATTGATTATTGAAGAAAGATATATTGATATAATATGATTTACAGTATAATAATCAAGATCAGCCCAAAATGGAGCTGCAATTGCCTGATCGAATAGTTGAAAGAATGCAAAACGTGTCATTGTTCGACTGTAAAAAGGTAAACCGAAACTGATGTAACCTTTATTTGTAACCTATAAATAATTAACAATGATTTATTTTATGAAAATATACTTCTTGTTCATACCCAAATACGATTATAATGTTGTTCAAAAAAAATACATTCTATCCGGTAATGCGTAAGAATTCATTCGCAAGGTTGGATCACGAATACTCGTTATCGGGATGACAGTAATAGCTAAATAACATAATACTAAATTTTGATTCATTCAGATGAATGAAAATACATACTTTCACAAGGTGGAGAAGCAGAACAAGATTCATTTTGTATTGCACTTTCGGTACCGCATGCAAGACTGCTACAATTCTGACCAGTTATCGAATTTACACATGATCGACTCGTCAATCGAAACGCTTCTCCACATGTAGCGGAGCAGGGACTGATTATAACCCGATCTGTCCACATGCAGACTGTAAAGAAATTTTTGCATCAAATAATATATTCAAAATCAAATCTATCACGTTACCTTGTGGTGCTGAGGTTGTAGTAGTTGAAATAGTCGTTGTTGTTGATGTGCTAGTTATAGTAGTCATTTGTGTTGTAGTAGCTATAACTATTGTTGATGCAGTAGTAAATGAGCTTGTACTAGTTATGGAGCTAGTTGTTTCTGTAGTCACCATCAAAGTCGAAATTTCGACTGTCACTGTTGTTGGACTGCTAACTACAGTTGTTTCTATTGCTGTAACACTTGTCGGTACATTACTCGAGCTTGCTGTTCCTTCACTGACAGTTAACGTTGAAACTATCTCTGTTACTGTTGTTGTTGTTATCACAGTCATGGGCGTGGATGTTGACACGGTCGTTCCTATGCCTGCCGTTGTTATTTCAACTGTTTCTGTCTGAATAGAGCTAGGAGTTGTAGTTGCAGTACTTGAACTGACAATTGTTGTACTTTGACCTGTTTGTGTTTCTGCTGTTGACAAGGTTATGGGAGTGGATGTTGCACTTTGTATAGATGATGTTTCTGTTGATGTTGTACTTGCTACTGTTTCCATTTCTGTTGTTATGATGGTTGTCGGAGTGATTCTTGTGCTAATAGTTTCTATTGTAGTTGAACCAGTAACTTGTGTTACTGTAACCTCTGTTGAAGATATGGCTTCTGTCGTTTGTGTTATTGTTGATCCAGCAGTTTCTGCCGTCATAGTTAATGTTGTACTTTCATATGTTTGAGTTGCTGCTGTTGTACTCGTTGTGATTGAGGCAGGCGAACTTGTTATTTCGACGGTTGCAGCTGATACCGTTGTTGTCGCTTCAATAGTCTGTTCTTGTGTTATTGATTCTGTCGTTGTACTCGCTGTGATCGAGACAGGTGAACTTGTTATTTCTACGGTTGCAGCTGATACTGTTGTTGTCGCTTCAATAGTCTGTTCTTGTGT